TTACTTTAAGTCTTTGCCTTCATTGCGGCTCGTCTCTGGTCAGGTCAAGGCCAGAGAACCAGCGTTATACAAGGGGATGCCGGCGTACGGGCCGCGGCACTGTCACCGGCGGCCTACTATGGTGGCTCCGTCTTTATGGATGAGCCGACTGGCCTCGACTACCATTTTCGCTCTACGGCTAGATTAACTTTACTCTAATTCTTTGTACTAAATTATAGTTTCCCTTTCGTTTTTGCCCACTAGATGTTTCGGCAGCACATTGTAATGCCAGTGCACTACAAGCCCTGCACTCCTGTGGCTGCTGTGTGGCTTGGTTATCCCAACATTCTGTATAAAATAATACAGATAGTCTCTATAAGTATTGTATTCGTTCTCTTACAGCTAACTAGGCCTGTGAAAGTTCCACTTGAGCTCCATTGTAGTGCCTGTACACTACAACTTCCCCCCCTTCCCCGACTGAACCCTGTCTCCCCGCAACTTTGTATTATTCCCAACTCCTCATTTCTCCATTCTTCTCCTGCCCGCCTCTTCGTGTCGGTGTTGGATGATTCCACGGTCCTAGGGCAGTGGAGTTGTCTACAATGCATAGCACTGTACTGCTACGGCGTTACTAGAATATTTATTACTACAATTATAACGCTTGTTCTCTGGCCTTCATCTAGTGCCGAGGCGAGCTGCAATGTAGGTAAAGATTTAAAGCAAGAGTTTCCCAAAAGCAGCTGACCTCCTTCCCCTGTCCCTAGGCACCCTGGGCGTTGAGCTCAGGGCCTGGGTGTTGCGGGGAGGACGCAGCCAGAAATGGGGTTGCAGCGCACCCGGCTGCGGCTGGTAGTACAAGCCGACCCCATGCGCGCACGCAAGGGAGCTTCAGCGAAGCTTCCTTTGCTGCATGCTTTACCTCTGAATGTACTTGTAGAACGTTTGCGAGCGTTTACACGCAGCATACCGAAGCCGAGAGGAAGCTTCTGCGCTACACACACGGCAATACAGCCGTGCTCGTTGTGTAAGAGTGAGTGTTAATTGGCCACTGCAAGTGCTTGCGAGTGCTTATTGATGTTTATTGAGTAAATAATTGATGAATGTATTAAATATTGTCTACGAAGGGACGTATTGATATGAGTATAGGAGAGACTTGCATGAGACTTGGTTCGAAAGGTGTTGCAACTTACCAGCCCGTCTCTTTTCCCATCCCCAAAGGCCGAAATTCCGGACTCAGTGGGGTTGCTGAACAGAACCATTTTGAGAAAAAACAAGAGAAGAAATCTCCTTTGATCTTCGTTAACTTTGTTATGTTGCTGTATCAGATGAGAGGTCTGAGTATCTGTAGCAGTTCACTTGAAGGTGTCAGTTAACTAATGCCTGCCGGATCGTTATACTCACCTGTGCGGTTCTAAGGATGCGCCCCGCAGTAGTCTTTCAGAGGAACAGTCTACTTATATGTCGCATTTATTTCAAATATTATACTAAAGCGTAATATTCTTTGTCGTGAACAAATTTCGGCATAGAGTGTGAGGGAGTGACGGCTCCACACATCAACAGATCAACAGCTCCCTGGGCCTGCAGTACCTCCAGTGTTACGGATTCGCAACACCCGATCGTATGAAGGAACTTGGATCCCTACTAAGTTTCACAGTTGGCTTTTTGTTCGCGTCCGTGTTGGGGGCACACAAGCAGAGCAGCGGCTATTGACTGGTACTTCCATTGACGAGAGTGAGATCAAGTTCGGAGGGCCCTATGATCCCTAAGGCCCCAAACTCCCCTTGCCTGGCCTGCTCTAGGGGCGTTTCTCACAGTAGGCCACCAAAAGGACTTCTCGGCGTGTTCTACAGTTGTGTTGACCCCGCCATGACCTGCTGAAACATGTTCGTGCATGTTGGACAGAATGTTCATGCGAAGCGAAGCTGGAACGGATAATCTCTGGACTCCGCACGTCGTCTCGCACCACAAAAGGTAGCTGCCGATGCTACATTGCTTGACCCCGTTGTTGCAGTTAGCTAGAACAGCAGCCAAATGATTACCTAAACAGTATGTAGGCCGCAATTGGGAAGAAAAAGAGGATTATCGCAGACAAGCGCAGTTGCAAAACGCTTGCCTCACCTGTAGGGCGTCGGGAGAGCGCGTCAGCGAGCACACTGGTGATAATATTGATATACACGACCGTATAGTCGCACTGCATGAGCTGAGAAACCAACCAAACAACTCGTTCATCATCATAGTCTGGAGAACTCTTCGTCAGGCGTGTCGGGGATTGATGATCGGTTTGGACAGTAACGTGCCTGCAATATAGGTAATGTCGAGACATGTTTACACCACCCACAGACCACGTATATCGCCTTCTCCCATACTTGATGGTTCTGCTCCCTCTCCGTGAAACGATGTGAATAGCAGGGGATTATTTGGTCATGTTTCGAGCCTTTAGCCTGCTGGAAAGTGTCACGCTTACCGTTACATTGAGCCGGACAACTCCAAAATGGATGATCCTACTCAATGTAGCGTTTTTTCTGCATCTGCTCTTGCTCAAGCCTTCGTAATCCCGCGATGGCCTGTGCGCTTTCCAACTTCGGAAAAAGCCTGCATCGGAAAGCATTCCGGAAAGCTTCCATGGATCTTATGCGCTCTGGGAAGGCGGATGGGTTTCTCCGTCTAACAGAAAAGATGCGTAGAGCAATTTTACTTCCTCTGATGCACTTTGAAGTCGGTAGTACAGGTAGAGGGAGCCGAAGAGCTCGTCTACCACTTCCCCTCTCCGGCGCCCGTCATATCGCGACGATCGGCACAGTCGAAGGAATTCCTCCTAAATTGGTTCTGGTGAAAATGCTATTTCCCCCGGATTAGGTGCAGAAATCGAGCTGGCTTTTACTGAGAGAGGTTCCAGACCGTGCGTAGCGCCCCCACATTGGGTAAGCCATTATCAATCTTCATTAGGCAGAAAGGAAACGGGCGGAATCTGAAAAATATTTTAGGGAACAGAAAACTAGTTCTAGCTTTTTTCTTTTTTCAGCTATGCATGAGCCCGCCTGCAAGGTGCGCTTCGTTGCTGTCACCCTCTCCGTCGAACCATGCAGTGCCACCAACTGTAATGAGTGCTTTCCAGCCCTGTTCAACGAGTAAAGCGAGCTGCAATAAAGCCACCCTTGATATGAGACTTTGCCCAGAGCAGCTGACCTCCTTTCCTGTCTCGTTGCAGCCTGTCTGTTCAACTGAGGGCCTGGAGTTGCGGGTGAAGAGGCAACCTAAGAGGAGTTGCAGTGCACCTCGCTGAAGCTGGCGATTCAAGCCGGTCCCACATGCGAGCAGACCGAAGCCTCAACGAAGCTTCATTTGCTGCAAGCCTAATCTCTGTAGACAGTTATGGGATATTTGTATTTGCGTGCAAGCAGCCTATCAAGGCCAACTGAATGCTCCTGTGGGGACCTCGGGAAGATCACGTTACATAGCCTGCAAGGCAGTCGCAGATGCAAGCACAGCATAGCCACCCTTGCTGCATGCTCTAACGCTGTAGACAATTCTTGAACACTTGCTTGGCCCTTAGTAGGGAGCCTGCATGCAAGTAGAAATCCACGTACAACCGTAGAGTATCCAGCGCAAGCCTTGCTATTGACGCGTTGAAGGCTAGCAATTGGTATGCTAAACCGGCCCCTTTGATCCCTATTAAGGAAGAATACAATGACATATTTCGCCTCCATTATAATCGTTCGAATGGCCTAGAAAAGGGGAGCTGTAGGGCCTAAAACTCGGCTACCGCCACACTGCACAGATTTCATGAGTGAGCGTCCGCTCTATGTTCAATGTTGCATGGTGGAACAAACTGTACCTATAGGTTTTGCTGCGTATTCTGAACAGAAGCCCAAATTGTACCTATAGATTTACCAGAGAAAATGACAGTGCTTGTAGGGCTTTAATTGGTGCCCTACACAGCATCGACGGGCTGCGGAACCACACACCCCGTTCAAAGAAGCGCAGTGCTTTCCCCGCATTTTCTGTATTTATGAACTCCATTTCAAGTTGTTTTCAAACGTGTGGGGGCGGTTTGGCTCATCTCTGCACTACTTATCCCTGCTTTTGCCCCGGTAGCAGTGGCAGGACCATCTGGCCTGATTGGCTAGCCCGGCGAATGCGAACACATGCACTTCCCTCCTGTTGCTGTTGTGGGCTTTCATCCTCACTGCTTGACATGTTCCTCTACATTTTCCTCTCCATATCTCAGTTGTATTCCAAGAAAGACGTTAGTATGGGCACACAGGTCTGTGTTTCCCTCCAGCTGCTGCATGCATTCATTCCCCGTGGGTAGATTGTATCCTCATATCATTGTTTGTCTTCCTTCGACAGTTTCATGCCCTTCATGTCGTGTTGATCCATGAGAATTGCGTGGATACGGCGCATTTACCCACTACAGGACACAGCATAGCGCGGTAGCTCCTGTAGCGTCAACAGCAGGAACAGGGGTTGCGTTAGTTGCTGGTCCTTCTAGAAGGTACATCGGCACCACGAACAGCTCGCTAATCTTTTCTCTGCTGACGGTAACATACAGGCGCTGCTGTGGCAGCAACAACAGAAGACAGAGCAGCAATAAGAGCAGCAGCAAGGAAAGCAGCAGCAAAGTTCTTTTGTATGCGTTTGAGATAGCGTCTGTGCTCCGTGGCCATCGGGCCGGCGGCGAGTCAAGATGGCGTCGGAGCCGTTCATTGACTACAAACCAGCATGGGAGGTGTTAGCTGGAGAGGAGGGGAGCGTCGAGTCAGCCTCGGATTCGGCGACTGAAAAGAGCCCCATAAAGCCTCCGAAGGGTGGAGCAGGTGGATCCAAATACAAAGCTCAAGACAGCAGAGACAAACATCAGACACACGATGCACTAAAGCTGCGCTCCATTGCTGTGGTCAATGTGTCGTCTGCACTTGACGGTTGCGACGACCAGCTGCTCCCTGCGACATTCAGGGCTCTGGAGAGTGACTTAGGCTTTCACCCTTCTCTCTTGGGCTACATTACTCTCTCTCAGACCCTTTGCCTTTCTCTCTTTTGTCCCCTCTGGGGGTATCTCGCTGACAGACATTCCAGAAAATGGCTGCTCGTCTTCGGCACCACCGCCTGGGGGGTCATCACGACTGCGCTCGGACTCGTCTCCGAGTTTTGGCAGGTAGCAACGAACCCAATGCCTAACCACAAACCTAAATGTGGGCTATAGACGTCCGCGGAGCCCGTTCAGGCGGGATGGTGGGGGATGCTCGTATGGCTGTTTGAAGCTGTTATTGTTCTAGTTGCTGTGTTGTTGATGCTGTCGTTTTTGTTGTTAGGTTGCGCTGCTGAGAGCGCTAAACGGCGTATTCCTGGGGAGTGTGGGCCCGGTGTCCCAGAGCATATTGGCGGACACTTCTCGTCGTCGGAGTCTTGGGTTTTCTTTCGGCCTCGTTCAGCTCTGCACCAGCATGGGAAGGCTGGTCGGGGGTGTCGTCACGACTACTGTGGCCCAGATACAAATGGGAGCCCTTAAGGTCCGTCCTCAGAAGCCAGTCAGAGTGAACACTCAAGAAACAAAAACACCGATTGAAATGCATTGAAGACTTGTGCTTGTTGAGGGGAGGGCAGCTCATTTGGGAATGAGCTCGCCTTAAGAAGGGTGATTCTTGCACTTTCCTGTTCGAGGGTGTTGTTGAATGGCTGTGGTCTTTCCGTGTGTTTTTGCCTTTGCTGCGGGCTCATGTTTGTTTTGTAGGGCTGGCGCGCCTGTTTTATCTGCGTGGGGGCCATGAGCTGCTTGCTGGGAGTTGTTATATCTTTTGTCCTAGAGGAAATTCCGCGCCGGCGAGTCTTGCGACCACGCATGGATGACTCGGGGGGCACGGGATCGGTGATGCAGTCTACGGACACCTGGAGCTCTTTTCTCAAGGAAGTCGTCACCAAGTCTCTTGCCACGCCTAGTGTCCTCATTGTTCTTGTAGAGGTGGGTTCTGCACCGTTGCTTCGCTTCTCGACAAGCTTCTTGGCGATCCTCGGGCATTGTGCTTGCGGCAGGCCGTTAGAAGTGTGCTGCTCAATAGAGAAGCTCTCTTGAGTAGCAGATTTTTTCCTGGCCAGACTTTGTACACTGCGAGGTTTTCATCTACACGGCGTGTGAGGGCGCGGTCTGAACGAAGAAGGGAGACAGGGCCAGGAGTGGTTGAGTGTGCTTTTTATCTCAGGGCTTGGTGGGGACAATCCCCTGGTCGGCTTTCAGCTTCAATACGATGTTTTTTCAGTACTGCAATATGTCGGACCTCAAGGCGGCGTACATCATGGGAGCACTGCTGATTGGCTCCGCGGCGGGTGGAGTCCTCGGCGGGCTTTTGGGGGACAAACTGTACGACTGGTCTCCTGGGCATGGCAGGCCGCTTGTGGGTAAGCCCGTCGACTGCTAGCCACGGCTGACACGTCTCGGGGCAGATACTGCATTCAGGGGGCTGTTGCCGGCACACCCTTTGCCGCTGATTCTGTCTGCGAGAGTTGTGCTCAGTGCGTCTCGGCCGGTCAGAGCATGTGAGTGTCTATGTAGGCGTGTGTCTCTGCCTCTGGTGTATACCTGCTTTTCTTTCAGGTCAATTCGCCATGGCGGTGCGGGTACCCTTGCTGGTGGTGGCCTACGTGGTTGTTCCCAAAGAGGAGACCTCGTTTGCTGTGTTTATGCTCTTGGCCCTCCTTGTTGGTCTGTCCTCCATGGCGGGAGTAGCGGTCAACAGGCCCATCCTTGCAGACGTTGTCCGCCCCAACCACAAAGCCACCGTGTTTGCTCTGGTGAGCTCACTCTTGCAGTTGCAAAAGCCCGAAAGAATAGCTCTACCATTTGCAGACAATCGAAGCAGCACGCAAGCACTTAAGGCCCCGCCGTCCATAGCTAGTTGGACGATATGCTAATCGTGGAGGTCCGGGCAAATGGGCCGGCAAACTGCCTGTGTGAGGTGTTTATGGCTTTTGCCTTGCAAATTGATGCATATGATGCTGATGGTCTGATTGTGGGAGAGGACGAAACCCGTATGGCTGTTTGTGGTGTATGCGTTTGTTGTTTTTCTGTTTGCACGTGTCCCTGAATTGTTTGGGGTGCTACCTCTCGTGAACATGTTGAGCGTTGAGCGGAGCTGCGATTTCTTCTTGTCACCGTGCGTCTTTTGCGGATGCAGACGGTGGCAGTGGAGGGGAGCGGTGCCGCTATTCTGGGGGCGCCACTCGTGGGATATTTGGCGGAGCATTCTTTTGGATATCTGCGCACAACTCTGCTGGTGGCTGAAATGCCCGAACAGCTGCGGCTGGGAAACGCAAATGCCTTGGCGTCTGCTCTTGCCTTTCTCACGGTCATCCCCTGGTCCATCTCCTTCCTGCTTTACGGACTCCTCCATTTCACTTACGGTCAGCCCCGCCTCCCAAAGCCCTCTCCGCTAATCCTCCCGCATCTGCTGCTGCGGGGAGAGCAGCGAAAGGGGCTTTGCTGCTGCTTTTGTTATTGCTTTTGTTGTTTATACTGAGCAGCGACGGAGGCGCATAGATGCATTTCCACACACAAGGTGTAACCAGCTTGACGTCTAGTTACAGCTTGCCGTTGGTGATGCACCATTTTGTCTCCGCTGCTACAGCTAGCCGTGCCCCCATTAAACTGCAAGACTTGTGCACTTCAGACCTAGTCATTCGACTACAAGAGTAGTAACTCTGTGCGGGAGTTCTTGTTTGTACACCGCATGTCAAACGTGGTCTCTGTCATTGCTTGGCCATAGGGCGGCAACGGGCACCAGATGCTCGCGAGGGTTCTATTTAGATAGCTGCCTCTGGAGATTGAGCATGAAAGGGAGTGGGGCTTATATGTGGGTTTCTTCAGGACGGGACCAAGAGAGGATCAGCGCAGTGCTCGATGAGGAGTTTCGACAGGACGAGGAAGATAAGGAGGAATGGCAGAGGCGACGATCACAGTCAAAGTCTACAGAGACAGAAACGGCCTTCTCAGCCGATGCTGTTGCAGATGGGTTCGTAGGTACTGAAGACAGCTCCAGTGACTCTCCGCGTAGGAGGCCCCCTGCCCGCAAGTCCCAGGATGCCGTATTCAGTTCCAGCGACTAATCGCTTGCTCTGCTGCGAAGGCCTTGACTGCCCACCCCTCAGCTGGGAGCGAACTCCTTGCACCCTTGCAGCGCCTTCACTGACACCCCTCCTTTCTTCTTGGCAAGAGGGGCCCATGAAAAGCCGCGCGGCTGTAGTGCTTTGTCCGCTTGCCAGCAAGTAGCTGCTTAGATAGCTGTGCACCTAGTTGCTGACTAGGACGCGTCTCGCCTATACGGCCTAACCCAGGCTGTGTGTCTCCTGCAGTCCTTGAAAGAGTCTCTGCGAAGCAAGTCGGCCGGTTAGCAGCAGGCATACAGCAGCAACAGCAGCAAATCCCCGACTTACGTGGCCCCCCCGCTACACTAGCAGCTGGAGGGACACGTGAGCCGGGGCGTTGTTTGTTGAAAATATCGCCGGTGGCGTTGTTTGTACTCATTGGTATTTGCTGCGACGGAACGCAGCAGCAACGTTTGAATGCACACGTCCTGCCTCTTGGAAACTTGACACTTAAACTGTTTTGAAGCTGGGGCCCAGCTAAGCAGAGGGGTGGCTAGATACGGCCAGCTAGCTACCCGGAGCTACCCGGCCAAGCAGGCAAGAAATACGGGTGAAAACAGCTGACGAGCCAGCTGGGGGACGGACAAATCGCGGGTGCAGTTAGCTGAGTTGCTAGCAACGCGAACAGCAGCAACGAAGTTGGCAACTCTAACGAATGTTTTGGCCGTCTGCAGATAGGGCCATCTTGCTTCATGCTTTGCTGAGTAGCGGCTGGTGCTAGAGCTGGAGCAACTGCAGACGGCGCAACTGCTGCAGTGGGCCTAACCGAGAGGCATCAGTAGCAGCAACACCAGCAGAACCATTAGCTCGAGCAGAAGGAGCAACAATAGAAGTGTTGGCAGACTGCAGCGTTAGGTTTGAGCGTGCGGCGAGGCGACTGCGCAGCTGTCAGTGGTTGAGGCCCTCGCGGAGACAGAATTCCATTCTGGGACTGCATGCGCCTGAGGGTTTGGGGGAGGGTTGGTTCGGATAGGCACAAGCGAAGCGCCATGCTCCTTCCTCTCTTGCAGCAAACCACAGCACCCCAATGATTCACTCTCCCGGGCCAGCTGCTGCACCCCCTGTATGCCAGTCCAGCGCGCACGCACACAGACGCACACACCTTAAACCATAAACCCCACATGATCCGCTGCATTCATACCTTTAATGCTGGAGTTTATCATGTGTGCATGACGGAGCGACAGATAGTCCAGCTGTACGTGTTCCATACCCTAAGCCCTGAAGCCTACAAGGCTGTGCGCACCCCTAGCGGCTACAACTCGAACCGTAAACCCTCGGCCCTACACTGTCGGGCAGTGCGCACCTGTGCAAGAGCCACATATCGGGCAGCGACTTCTCTCTTCTCTCGAACAGCTGCTTGAGTCTCTTCCGCCGCCATCCGTATCTCCCGCTGCAGCCTGTGTTGCTGCTGCTGCTGCTGCTGCAGCTCCTGCTGTAGCAACTCTGCTTCCTGACAAACCCTCCCGTGCTCGTTCCTCAAATGCATATAAGCGGCTGCAGCACGCTTTGCGGCTGATGCTAAGGCGCCGCTATCTCGATCTTCTGCGTCCTGCTCCCCTTCACTGCTGTCGCGTTTGCTGCTGTTGCTGCAGCTCCGCCTGCTACTGCTGCTGCACATGCTGCTGCGACGCCCGACCTCCAGCAGGAGTGGTCCCAGATGTTCGTATGCACGTTGGCGTTCGCTGCAAAGAGCCTCTACTCTCCTGATTGCCTCCTGCTGTTCTTCAGTTGCTGCTGCAGCTGCTGCCGCGGTTTGCTGCTGCAGCTGTTGCAGCTCCTGCAGCTGCATCTCAAAGTGCATGCGATCTTCCGCTGCGCGTGCCTTTTCCGTGTTGAGATCATCTATTGCTTTTGTATTTGCCGCTACGGCGGCTCTAAGCTGCTGTTGCAGCTTCTCGACTTGTTGCTGCAGCAGCTCTTGTTGTGCTGCAGCCGCCTGTTGCTGCTGCAGCAGCTGCGCCTCTGTTGCCGCTATTTCCTGGGTGCGTTTCTCGAGTTGTTCCTGTTGCTGCTGCTGTTGCTGTTGCAGATCTTGCAGCTGTTGCCGCAGCAGCTTGAGTGCTTCCTGTCTCTCCTCTTGTTGCTGTTTGCTCTTTGCGAGAAGAGTCCTGTTAGTTTGCTTGACGGAGCGTAGCTCCTCCTGCTGCTGCTGCAGCTGTTGCTGCTGCAGCTGCTGCTCCTCGTTGCTGCGCCTTTGTGCGGCTTCCAGGGTTTTGACCTACAAAAATACCCGAGCGCATGCAAAAGTGAAGAGGCTCCCCTGTCTTGCTTCAAGTGAATGAACAAGTACGAACAGTCATCGGCTCATTCACTAGTTTACTTGCACAAACTCCTGCCCGACTTACTCCAATATAAAACAGCAAAAGTCGATATGGATATGCTAAGCTCCAAACCTTTAATTGCAGAAGGTTGGGGGCACAGAGAATGGCATTGCCAAGGGCTTAGGGTTTAGTGTTTCGGGGTTTGGGTTTGGGCTCAAGAATATACCTGCTCCGCAAGCTCCTGTCTTTTCTTCTGCAGGTTTCGGTTTCGATCGTTGAGCTCTTTGCTCCGCTCCGAAAGGTCCTTGTTCTCCTGAATAACAAAACCTAAATCCTAAACCCTAAACCCTAATTCCCTGAACCCGGCTCTGTACACCCAACCCTAGACCCATTCTCCCACATCCTAGGCCGTCCTTCTAAGGAAATATCCCTCTAAAGCTTCTGATTGAGGGTGTTCGGCTTGGGGCTTGCAAGTTTAGTTGAAGGAGCAGCGTTCTTAGGGCTTACGAGGCTTAGTTTGGCATTGGTTTCGGTCAGCTGTTTCTGCTGCGCCTCTGCTCTCGCCTTGAAGGCTGCTGCAGCTTCATGCGCCTCCTTCAGCTGTCTTTCAGCTGATTCGGCTGCTGCTATTGCTTTATCACTGGCCTCACTAAGCCTTAGGCTTAGAGCCTCGCGCTCGGCAGCGGCTGCTGCTGCTGCTGCCGCTGCTGCCTTCTGTTGCTGCTGTAGCTCCTGTTGCAGGGCCTGGAGCTTATTTTGCTGCTCCTGCTGTTGCTGTTCCAGCAGCGACTTTTCCTGCGTTGTCGCTTGCAGCTTTTCTATGAGGGTTTTGTTTTCAATCAAGAGTTCTTTGCGCTGCCGCGCCAGCTCCTGATTAGCTGTAGCTAGCTGGTTGTACTGGGACTGCAAGGCTTCAGCCAGCCTTTGGGCCTCCTCACGCTGTTCTTTTAGCCGCTTGTACTCGGAGCCGAGCTGCTGCAAGTGGGACAAGAACTCTGGGTCGCTTTCCATCCTTACAGACTACGAGGCCCTAGACCGGACGGGCCGATGAAGCAACACTGTTGAAGGTTGGCTGGGGAAAGAACACCAACTGGTGCTGGCAAAAATCTTCTGTATCCGAGACGTGAAAAAGTTTTGGACTTTACCCTAGACTATCATCGTCCTCACCTCCGCTCCTGGTGTGTGGTGGGCTTTATTGTGAGTGGCACCAGGGAGACCAGGGGCGAAGGCGTTAGAGGGTTAAGGCCAGGGAGCACACCGGGTAGAACAGCATGGCATATATATCACTTGATAGATGCCGAGAGACAGCCATTTAAAAGAGGAGGTGGACGGGATCAAAGCAACGAAATAGCACCGCTCCTTTCACTCCCAACGCTGGTGGTCTCCACGCGAGCTAACAGTTCAGTGTTTCGGCCACAAGTTGGGCCAGAAACACCTTGTGAAGCAGATCAATAACAAAATTTTCGCGATTAAAACAAGCCAATGATCAGGACATTGCTCGAATGAACTATGAATGCAGGCTGCACGGTCGCTGGGGCCGCTGTGGACCGGTTAGGTGTACGAAGAGCACAGCATCCACGGGCAGCAAACACAGTCTCTTTCTAACAGTAGCTCTACCTTAACATTTTAATTATTGTATATTTAAAATTAAAAATATCCATTTCTCTATGTTGGAACGATTAGATTCTCCCACCGTCGAGGCTCCGCAACCACGGTGGCACAGGGGCCCCCCGCGTGACCGGGGGCCCCATGGGGGCCCCCATGGGAAATGAATTAGCCGGTGGAGCTGAAGCGGATGGCTCGAAATAATAACGGATTTTAAGATACTTCGATTTTTATTCAATGAGATAATACTAAATACCGAACAACCAGACCGTGACCGCGGCTCCCTTGCTGCCACTCCGCTCAACTATCATCTAGGGAGTGTTTCCGCGTAGGACAATCAAATTACTGTTCCCTCATTGTAGGAGGCTACTCACTTAATGGCATGCTCTACACCATCACGGCCACACAAAATCCCAGCCTCTCCTATCACCATGCAGCAGCAGGAACAACACACGCAGCACCAGCAACAGCAGCAAGGGCAGAAGCAGCAGCAAGGAGAACGGCAGGAAAAGCACCGAAGCCAGCAACATTAACAGTTGCGGCGGCACACAGACTTAGGCAGAGCAATGGTACGGCCGCGGCAAAAAGCGCAGCAGCAGCAACAGCAGCAGCAATCGGAGCGGCAGGCCCAAGACGAGGATCAGCAGTGTTATCGCCGTGCGCAGGATGAACACAAGCAGTATTTACGGACGGAATCACATCAAGAGCAAGATCCGAATCAGTTGAGGCAGGAACAACAGCAGCAGCCCCAGACAGAGTGGCAACGGAGCAGTCTACAGCAGCAAGCCGAGCAGCAGCAGCCGCAGCAGCAACAGGAGCTGCAGCCTTCTGCTGCACCGCCTCGAGTGCACGTGAAATTCTTGGGCGGCAAACGTGCGAGAGGTCTCGTTGCATCCGAACCCATCGAAACCGCGGAGGTGGGATATGGTTGGTTGTATGCAGACACCAGCACCTACTGAGCTAGAACTGTGTTTAGATAGCTAGGGGTTCTGCTTCATGCAGGGTGTGCTGGATCCCTGCAGCTAGCTAGTGCTCTGTATGAATCGCGAGAGGACTTCATGTTCAGCTACGTAGGGTTCGTGCTGCAACTAGTTGAGTAGACCGTGTCCTCTGGTGAGCATAGCTGCCCGTTGCTGTGACTGCAACTGCTGTTGCAGCCAGTTTTTGCCCACCTAAACAAAAAACTCTCAACTCTAGCCCCCAAACCCTAGGGCGTGGGGTATGTATTTTGTGCACAGGTCATTTACACGGAGGAGCGTCCGCTTCTCGCAGTGCAGCACGAATTCTCGCGGTTTGTCAAGGGCGTAGGGTTTAGGGTATGGTATTCTGCCGGGTCACCTGCTGACGGTTTTCCCGCAGGGTTTAGGGTTTGTAGCCTAGGGTTTGGGGATCAGGGTTTGTGGTGCATTTGTAGGCTATGTGGGCTGACCTGCTGCAACTGCTTGCGCTTTGTGGGCTCGCTGAAGGACTGTATCCGCCACGTTCTCACCCAGTCAGCTTCTCATAAACCCTACATTCGAACCACGCCTAAACCCGAAACCCTAAAATTCACCATTAGATGTAGCTTTAACACGTAAACCCTTGTCCTAGCTGAGAGCGCTGAAGCATGGCCCTGAACCAAAGTGCTAAACCCTAAACCCTCGTACATACCTCATAAGGTCCATGCTTCAGCAGTAGCGCCTCAGCGCAGAAGTGGGTACTGATGCTGTTGCCGTTTCTGACGTTGCTGCTGTTACTGTCCCTGCAACCTCTGTTGCCGCTGCCGCCGCTGCTCCTGCTGCACGTGCTAGAGTAGTGCTGCTGCTTCAAGCACTGCTGCTGTTAATGTTCCTTTAGGGCAGGGCGGCATGAACCTCTGGCGGACCTGCAACTTTTGCCCGAAACCTTCATCGAGAAAGCAGTGAGAGCGACGCAGACGTGTTGTAGCAGAGATCTGGTGCCTCAGTATTCAGACCTCAATCCCTAAGTCCTAATCACAGGCTGGGCCAACCGGTTGAGATGCCAGATTCGAAGGTTGAGGGGCTAGGGTTAAGCGCTTGGTGTTTGTCGTTCAGGGGCTCTCGTTGGGTCCAGTAGTCCCCTGCGGGGAGTCCGACTGTCCGGCAGTGTTTTGTTCCCAAGAATGCCGCGAGGTTTGTTGATGCAGTGAACTCCAACACCAGTTCTCAATCCCTTTCCCAAGCACCAAGCCCTGAACTCAACGCAACCCCTCACTCTCAACTCGAGGCCTACAACGGAGAGGGGGGCCTTGAATCGCTGGCTTTTGCCCTGTTGATATAACACGTTTTCCTAGGGTTGGGGATTGAAGGCCTAGGGTTTAGGGTCTATGGTGTGCGAGCAGCACGCTCGTCGCGAGACCTTTCATCGAATGGTTTGTGTGGAGGCGGCGGATCGCAGCGCCTGGCTTGTATTCCTTTCTCACGCCAGAAGGCACCATGATGGACTCATGATGGCAGGTACGTTCTAGAGCTATGAGGCTACGGTTGGGGGTATATTGCATACGATTTAGGGTTTACGGTTTTGCGGTCTTACAGTTCAAGATTTACTCGTTATGGCTTAGGGTTTACTCCTATATTCTGCCTTGATGGGAATTTCTCGGTGCTAAGGGAAGTGGGGTTGATGCTCAGGGCCTAGGGTCTTGATTTCAGGTTTTTGCTTGCTGCGTCATCTCGCTGAACACAACGGGCCCTACTAGGGTTTAGGGTGTACGGCTGAGGGTTTGCGACCGCAGGTGCCTGCGTAGCCCAGGTTGTGTTTGAGGTGTTGTTTAAGGGCCGGCAGTTCGCAGATGCACTTCGTCCTTTCCGGCAGTTTTATTCTGCTCCCTGGTAAGGGGTTGATTTCTGTTGGTGAATTTGCAGTCCTGCTTTTTTCCTGAGGTGTACGTAAAACCCTTGGCGTCCTCACGCGTCTATGGAACCATAGTGCGCCCCCTGTCCTGAGGTGTATATGCGGCTGGTGGCTGTCGATCTTTAGTTTGCCCGGCTTGTTTGCTTTTGGCTTCTGTTTGTTCCTGCTGTCGGTGCTGCTGCTTCTGGCGTGGGTGCGTAAAGGCGTCTGCTGCCTCTCGTTTCGCTTCCTGAACCTTGTGCTCTGTTTCTCGGGTCGCTCCCCGTCGACGTACGCAGCAAGTGGGCGATTGTCGAAGGTTTAAAGTTTGGGGTATAGGCCTTAAGCTTAATTTTGAGTGTTTTGGCCCTGCAGGGAGTCGCTGGCGCCTGACCGCGTCGCTGCAGGGGGGTCTTCAGCGTCCCTTAGGGGCTCCCGTACAGAGACTGCCGAGGGGAGGAGGAGTCTCCTTCTCGAGTCGCTGGCCCTTTTAAAGAGGGTCCTCGACCCGATCATCAGCTGCTATGGGGACCCATCACTGAGGGACACACTTGACAGCATTCTGCAGCTTGATTCTTATTCACGCCTCCTGGTCAGCAAAGTCTGAGCTCCAAAAGCTAAACCCCAGCTTCACCCCGGATCGCACAGCAGAGATTTCCCGGGGGATCACAACCTTCTTTCGGGTTCCGCTAGTGCGCAGCGTGTATCAGCAGCAGGCGGTGGCTGGAAGCGCATCTTGCGCTGCTACGAGCACTGCAGCTGCTGCAGTTCAGGTGTAAAAGGGCTGCTGCTGCTGGAGCCGCAACAGCAGCTCCCGAACCGTGTTTCTGCCCTGTCTTGCGGCGTTTGCGCATGCAGGGGACTTTCGCCCTAGTTTGTCTCGATGTGGAGTTCCCTCATCCGCTCAATCGTCGTCTGCTCGACTTGCAGCGAGCCCTTTCGCGGTTCAGTCACCGCCGACCAGATCACCCAGAGGGCCTTTCAGGAGTCCCCATAGAAGTACCTCCTCCATCTGGACCACTTCAGGGGTCTTCCCCTGAGCTACAGGATACTTCAGCTGAGGATGAGCAACACGCTCCTGTGCTACGGAAAGTGGGTTTCAGCGTGTAAAATATAGGCCTTAGCGCTTATGCTTATGCGTCCTAGTTGTTAAGGTTTGGGTTTTACGGTTGGGGCGCTAGGGTTTACGGGTTGGTGTTTATGGTTTAGGCTTGAGGGTTTAGGGGCAAGAGGCTTGGAATTCGAGTTTAATGTCTATGGTTTATAGTTAAATTGTTGAGGATTGTGCGTGTGACAGTTGCTGAAAGAGGTCCACGCGATAACGCGCTGGGATGATGGCGACGGGGATGCTGAAGCTCCGGGAGACCCAGAGGCACCAGGAGGGCCCTCTGAGGTTACCTGGGGGGCCCCTCTTTTGCCATTTATTGGGTGGGGTTTGTTTCGCTTCGGATCGATGACGAACCACAGCTGTTGGCCCAATGCAGAAGCGGATTTTCCGCTACACAGCACAGCCTTGGAGGTGGGCTCTCTGTCGGTATTATGGCTCGAGGTGTAGGGTCTAGCGTTTACCGCTCATTGTTAAAGGTTAATTCTTCACGATTTACAATTATGGCGTAGTGAAAGGGTTTAGTGCTAAGGGTTTACGGTTTAGGGAGTGGGGTTTAGGAGGGAACGCTCTGCGTAAAGCTCGCTTCATGCATATGGGCTCTTGTCGATAGCGTAGGACTTAGGGTTTAGGATTTGCTGCAGGTCAGGGCCTTGCGGTCCATTGACGCGGAAGAGGAAGTGACTGTCTCCTACATAGACGAGGCCCTGCCCCTCCACGAACGGCGCCAGATGCTGCAGAAAGTATGGCGTGGGGTCTTTAGCGGTTAACGGTTTAGGGTTTCCGCCGGTGAAGCCATTCCTTCAAGCAGGCGGCAGCAAACACTCAGGAGTTCAGACTGTGTCCCGTAGGGTTCAAGGTTGAGGGCTGAGCGTGTGGGGTTTAGGGTTCAGGGTTTAGGTTTTGGTGCTTTGCAGCACTACGGCTTCTCTTGCACGTGTCCCCGCTGCGTTGTCGAAGTAAACCCAAAACCCTTAGCCCTAGGCCCTGAAAGCTAAACCCTTCCTGCACCAGTCTAGCGTTTACTGCTTCCTTCCTTCCTTCGCTTCTTTAAGATTTTGGGCTTAGCGCTTTGTTTTTCAGGCTACCGAGGCCCTGCTAGTTGTCATGAAGGCCCCCGAATGCGCCGATGGAGCTAAGCTTGAGGTGAGCCGCTGCTACTGTTTCTGCACGTGGGCAGTTGGTCCTGCTGCGCCTGCCGTTGCTCGATCTCTTGCTGCTGCTGGAAGTGCTCCTAGTGTTGTGGTGCTGCTGATGGTGTTGCTGCTGCTGGAGCGGGAAGCAACAATCGTGTGTTGCCACTGCAGCCGTCCCTGCTGTGTCAGCGCACCCTGGGCGCTACAGTTCCCGTTGTTTCTTACGTGGCTGCTGTTGGGGTTGCTGCTGCTGCTGCGCTTCGGCTTGCAGGAGCTTGTGGCGCGGAGGACGGGTTTGCCCCTGGCCGTTGTCACGGAAGTCAGGCAATATTCACGACGGCTCACCAAACCCTAAGCGTCAAACCGGGAACCCCAAACAAGCAAAAGCAACCGTCTGGGGCTGCACCTTCTCGGATTCTCGGCGCGACCAAAACTCCAAAACCAAAGCCCTAACCACTGAAGTCTAACGCCTCGGCGGAAAGAAGTAGCATGAACACCCTAGTGACCATTGCAGGTTCTCATCTACGGTTGCTTCAACAGCACCATCTGCAGCAGGGTTGCAAACTGCACTCACCCCCGCTGCATATCGAGGGCCGAAGGTTGTCAGAGACTGAAAGGAGATAGCTTCTCTGGGAGGCCTCGAAGCGCCTTTTGTTTACATGATATATGGGTAAGTGGCCAGCTAGCTGGTAAGTTGCCAGCGAGCTGGCTAGCTAGCGACGCTGGCGCTGTGTCCAGCTCATCCAGCAACAAGCAAGTCAACAGACTGGACACCTCACCTAAACCTGCGCTGGAAGCTCAATGGCGGAACTCGAATGTTCCCGGTGCCCCAAGCGTACAAGCTAACTATCGGCAAGTGCAGCTACCTAGCTGCCCGGCCAGCTCCTGCTGGCCAATTCAACTAATTTGTTAGCAGTTCGGCTGCCTACCTGCTTGTTTCGTTCAAGCCTTCCGAACATGAATTTTTGACAACGGATATCTGAAGTCAACGACGTGAGTATATGCAGCGAACTGAGTGAACAGTGAAGCGCAACAGGAACCTAACGTATTCTGTCTTTCAGTACCGTGAAGGTAACGGGGTCGTAAAGCTGCTGCCCGTTTGTTTCCTTCGCATTCAGTGCCGGCTGGCTAAGGAATTGTATTTTGAACGAGCCGTTCATGCTGAACTTTCCTGATGCTAGTGTCGTTCACACCGCCACTAACCAGCACCACAATTTGAAACTCCATCCCCTTCCCTGCATTGCCCTACCTGCTTCCAGCTTCCAGGAGCCAGTCGCCTTTGGCCGTGAGGCTTTCTAAGCAAATGAGCCTCTTTGGCTCTGGGATAAGCCCAACTTAGCAAAAGGAAGGATCGTGCCACGTCAGGAATTCCTTGCTCTCGTTTTAGACAACAGAGCACCAAAGCTCTCAGCCTAAAAAGAAGGCTTCAGAGAAGCATTGTACGTCTAGCAAAGTATGTCGCAAGCAGAAAAAAACGCGGACGCAGGGAGACCACCTTTCATTGGGCCATAAAACGAGAAACAAAGAAAAAGGTGCATGCATTGGACAAGTAAAGGCACCACGTCGCAACACTGCCAATATCGGGCTTGTCCCACCGCAGATATATGCTGGGTGGGTATATATCGAGCTGACCATAGAGCCTAATGTTATAGTTAAGCTAGGAAGCATCCCAAGACAACTCTGCTTGCCCCCGATCAAGGACATGCCATTTAAAGTAAAAATTTTAGATGGGTTGGTTGCATCTGAACAGCATGTTTTGCTGACTAAAATATGCCACCGTAAGGCCAGCTAAAAGGTGCTGCAGATATTGTCAATAGCCATTTCTGTAGGAGTATCCCAGGTCATTGCGCGCACCCTCAAGAGGTGCTTCGCGCATCTCAGACGCGCTGTAGCACTCCATAGTCTCCACCGGGCATGTAAAACCTGGATAAGCACCCATTTGGAGGCAAAGTCAACAACTTAGTGTACTGAAGGCTTTGCTGCAGTAGGCCTAATATGTCTCTTATGCGTGAAGGAGGGAGCCATCAGAAGTGTCACAGCTCTGCAGTAGGGCAGTGCAAACAGGAGACGTGCAGTACTGAATTTGTGGCGTTCTGGCACTATACAGGTTGAATTGAAGTCCGGGGTACCTGAAGGGTAGGTGCCTGTAGCTGAGTGAGTTCCTGCAGCTCGTCCTTGCCGACAAGAGTTAGTGCGCGTTGCAGCAGAGGTAAAAGAACGAGCGCCTCATCAACGCCTAGCCTTCCCTGTATGGCTCGCAGCTGCAGATGCGTCACCAACCGCCACCACACGAATAGCAAGTTTGCATGTCTGGAGCTATAGCAAGAGAAGGTCACGTTGCGAATGCTAAAATGTGGGAAGCGGGAGGGAAGATAGGACTGACCAAATCATTCGTCTTGATTAGGAGGATGAGTTCGTGAGGAATATCCTGCAGGACGCTAGTAATTCGGGTGAAGTACTCCGGGAACGACCTTCGCAGCAGTTCTGCCTCTCTGTCCACCCGCAGCAACAACACTAGACACTGCTACTGAAATGAACCTGCATATGCCGAATGAATGCGAATTTTTCCTACAAGGAGCTGTCGGGGTGTGGTTCTTACTCGGGAGTCTTCCGCGACAGTTGCAACCCCGAATTGATGCTGGGAACACAACAGCTCACACCAAACAAAGCTCAACGCGTCGGTAGAAATACGCCTTGAAACTAAAACTACAACATATTGGTTCACACCGCACCTGTCTTCGCTTCTCAGGCTGAGAATAACAGCAAGCAACCCAGCCAGTTCATCCACGCCAAACTCGTTTGCGCATGCTGTCACAGCTGCAATGTCTCCCCGCTGCATGGCCAGCCACAAGCTGGCGTATGTGTGCCTAAAGCGCTCAGTAAGTGAACAGTATAGACCGTGGTCCAGAAGGCTGAGACGAAGCCGTCCTTTTGTCTGCCCTGATTCCTGTGACAGTCGCCGGGCATTCAACGCCTGCGCCCCGGTGAGAGACGATAAAACTACCGGTGTGCGTAACAAAAGCCTTGGCTGTCGAGGCTCCTCGCTTGAGCCCGAGCCCTTTTCGAGATGCACAATGACGTTGCCAGGGTGCGGATCCGCATGTACAAATCCAACGTCAAAAATGAGCCTTCCGTAGAGTTCCGATAACGCTTCAGAGACCGCTAGAGGGTGAATTCCTGCAGCGGAAAATAGACAAGGCCCTATCGCAAAATGTTTTGTCCCATGTAGACAAACAAATCCCTCAAGCTTCCGGGATGCAGCCTCCTTGGGAAGTTTCAGCATACCTTGAGAAAGTATTCCTCGCAAATCGTCCACTGGAACCCCTTTACAGCGCTCCATGACGAGAACCCTGGCAGTAGTCAATTTGTTGTACACTCGAGGCACATATAGCTCTATCTCATAGTCATTGAGGCAGTGCGAATAGTCCTCCTGTCTGCGGACGGTTGAATTTGCAGCAGCCCTTGAATGGAGCTGTGGCGTTCTAGAGTGCGACTGTTTGTCTGTAACAAGCGAAGCGTTTCCTTCAACACCTTCCACGTCGCTCGGTCGTGTCGGTGGCGTTTTTGCCGATTGACAGCCACTGTTGTCTCCTGACTGTGAGTGGGGATTTGGAAGCCAAAAATACGAAGCTACCCTTGCGCCGAGACGGATGAGGATCGATTGCAGTAATGAAGGCTGCGGCAACCCGAAGTGAAAACTGGAGCATCCCTCTTGCAACAGCTCGCGACATCTATTGGCGTTTTCCGCTTCCTTTCTGAAGTCCAACTCGGCAGGGAGATTTTCTCGCAGCAGATCTACAAGCCACTCAAGCCTGCATGCAGAAGGGATGGCGAACAGTGTAGTGCCTTGCACAGGGACATTCTGCTAGCCCGTCCCAACTGCACAGGCTACAGAAGGAAAGTCGAGCAGCTTTGACGCTATGCGACAAGCGCCCCATGTCAAACACCAAATGCCAATCACAGGTAGAACGTTGAATCACTCCACTTCATTTCATCGTTCCGTCGTGCAAACGCGACGTCGTGTCACATGCCAGGACAAAGCAGGAGGGCAAGGGCCTATGTGCGCAGTGCACCGATGTGTAAGACTGCAGAACACCAACGAAGGAAGAAGTGTGTCTTACGACCAAAAGGCAATATACTCCTACCGCTAGTTATATAGCTATACAGCGTTACTGTTGATACTCTTGTGGGTATTTCACCTGACATCAGGGAATATTTTTGCAGCAACTGCCGTCAGGAGTTCAACAACTCTTGTGTCCGTCTCGGCAAGTTGCCGCACGTCAGCATGTTGCACTTTAACAGCAACGGGCTGCCCATTTGCCAGCACAGCGAAGTGTACTTGCGCCAACGAGGCTGCAGTGAGGCAGAGGCACAGCATCGTATGTGGGCTCGGTGATTCTGCCGCTGGTCCCGTAGCAAAGAAATTACTACTAGTAGAGAGCCGCATGTGACGCAGAAGGAAGTTCAAGTATATAGAGGGTTAAAACAATGTGTGTGCCGTTTCAAAAAAGAAGACTCAACAGACGGTTACGCGAGCGCTATCCTCAAGACGCAGTCAGTCACTTAACCACCATCAGGGATCAAGATAGAAGCAGCCAGGAAGAGCCAAGCAAAGGCACGCTGTTAAACTCGACGGACGTTATGGAATATACCTGTGCTTTAGCCATTAATAAACCTACCCGTGCCAACTGGTGTCTCGTCAAACTCCCGAAATACTTCATCCAACCTTTCAATCTTCAGTTCTTGCTTGAGCACTTCCTCCACTTGTGCCATGGGAGACGGGGGGAGGTTGCACTGCAGCCGCTGCAGTTGCTGGGTATATTCTAAGGGCAACAAATACTCCATAGCGCTCGCGTGCTGCCCAACTTTGACGTATACCCCTCTGTTTCTTTCAGCTAACCGCACGAGGCGCCGTGCAGTGCGCTGGTGGCAGCCGCTGATATCCCACCAACCTGAACATATTTAAAGCATCTACATCTAGCCGCCTCAGCAAGACACAAACGTTTCAACACACGCTGCAGCATACCTGCATACCGTGATTACTTCACGCAAGCGAACTCTGCAGAACCCGGATCCTAGGAGCAGTACGCGACACTAAAATATATTTGCTCTGGTGGCGGCAGGTTTGCCTTCGTTATGCGTGCCTACAGCGTAGCCAAAAAAAAGTACATCTTTTAGCTTCATGCTTCGCTTCTTTATCCCCTGTACTCACAAATACTTACTGAGCAGCTTGTAGTCAATGCTGAGCGCAGCAAGGGTAGCTGCGGCGTTCGCGCATCGTAGCACAGCCCAGGTTCGGGACCTTTCAGGCATCACCAACTGAATTCCCCACCCAATAAGTCCCGCAGCAGTGAGAGCAGCACCAGCAACACAGCAGCCCCTACCAAACGCGACCAATGACGATGCCGCCTTACGATGCTGGATGGGCCTGTGTGGTACCTTGAAGCGTCCAAGCAGATGTCTTATGCCGCCGCCGCTGCCGCTCCCCATTGCGTCTCTATTGCTGCCGATGCTGGTGCGCCTTGTATCGGCACCACCATGGTAGAACCTGGGGAGGGAACTGTAGACATTGTGCGTCGCGCGATTGGCTTGGGAGAGGCGCCCCAACATCATACTTCACCACCAGAGGCCTCTCACACGGAGGTAACCTTCATAGAAAACCTACACCAGCATGTAGTGCTGCTGAGAATGTCCGAGAACAGCCATGAGCTAGGCGCCAGGTGCAAGCATATTTCACAGGGGGGCGCGCATGCCCAGATCAAGATGCGCCAGCAAGCGTCGGGTTCTGCCTCCGCAGCACTCGCCCTAGTCGCTGAGATGGCGAGAGACCATACAGGTAGCTTCGGTAGAGCTAACTTAGAGGATTCTGCGAGGCTTTGTGCTCCGCAGAACGACCTGTCGCCACGAGGGCGTACCAGCGGGAATTCACAAACCTCCGGACCCTGCTTGTCTGATGAATGCTCGGGCTCCTCCGTCCATTATCCTGCGCGCAGGGGCCAGCTGGAGAAATTTATGGCCCATCTGAAAGGTACGAGTGCGACTTTGCTAGGAATTCAGAGGCCCCTCCCTGCCAACGGCTTACGTGCGTGGCAGCTACTCCCAGTGGTGACCCTTCACAGGAGGGCCGTTATTAGGTTTGTTTGAACTTTAATAGATTTGTTTTGCCTAATCCTCTCTCTATAGAATATACAGAATGCAGGAGTCGGCAAGTTGTTGGATCGCTTCTTGCGGACTGGCCCCGTTGGTTTTGCTTGTTGGGCCCCGCTGGATGGCTGGATCTTCGTTATCTCTCAGCGCTAAGCTTCTACACCACAACTTGCTGCTCCTCTTTATTTGTAATGTTTTGACTCTCATCCTATTGATTTATCCAGGGGTCCCGAAACATCTTTCGGGGATTTTTTGAGGGAACCGGATCGGGCCCTCCAGATCCGCTGTTGCCAGATCCAAAATTGGGAGGCACATTGGCTTATGCAAACTGTTATATCCCTACTTATGAATTATCCAGATATCAAAAATTAACTTTAAATTCTCTCCCATATGCAACACCTCGTCGAGCCGTTTCGCCCGAGCCTGCATCGAGTTCTATGGTATTTCAGAACGGGCCTCACCGATGCATCGGGGAGTCTTCTTTTTGCTCGCCCCATTATTACCTTTAGATAGACGTATTTATGGGTTCTCCACTTAAGGGCAAGTCGTCTGCCGCCCAATGTTCCTTCAAAAGGGTGGCACGGGCCCGCGCAATGCCTCTCAGCTGCCGCAGGCCCGTTTCTCTCTTCGTTTGGGAGAGGGGCCATATCTTATGCGCCTTTTCTCCCACGCCCTGAGCCGTCATCCCTTCAATCAGCAGGTATGTTCACATATATACACGGCATACTGTCACGCGCGTGTACTGGACAGGTCTTAAACGTAGTTATTTCCGTCCTTGCAGTATGGAGCATGTTTGTGAAGCTCGTGCTCCCGTTCTGGCTTTTACTTCGCATGAACATTTCTGGGGACAACTATTTCATTCTCCTCTTCACAACTGCAGCAGCGAGAGGAACACCCACAGTCAGCAACCGCAAAAGGGTTCCGGACAACACCCGCGTTTGTTGCGCAGGTATTCCTCGTTGTTTCCGACGGGCAACCGGGTTCCTCAACGTCAAGAGTCCGATCGGCTCTTAATTCAGCTATCTCCAGGGTAAGGCACTAGTTATTGTATAGCTGATGAGCTAGCCAAGAATATAGATGATTGCTTGGCGGCTCGATCTTCGAGTTTCGTTTGTGCTTGGGGTCCGCAGGTAGCCAGCGGGAGCTGTTGCCTCTGCTTGAGAAACGTCTCTCTAGATGCATTTCTTCATCTGCCTCTGCAGCAGCTGTTGCTGAAGCGTTGGAAGGGATCTCTTCTTACTTGGCGGGGACCTGGGGGTTCAGTTCCGTGTTGTGAAGCAGCAACAGCAGGTGCCACGGATGCGCCGTGCCCTGTGATAGGAGATACTGGAGGAGATAGGAATGCGGCTTCTTTACAGAATGACGGCGTCATGATTCTGAAGGTATGCCCTACGCTACTCTGAGAAGGGCAGGACTCGGCAGGAAGCTTGCGCTCGCTCAACCAGCATTAGCCGAGCACTCAGCGCGTCAACTGTAGTAGTGTCACTTCTAGTCTCCTGCAAACCGTGCATGCAGTGGGCTTAGCTAGCGCAGCATGCGTTGTGAAAGCACCGTCTGTGTACATGCTTGTGCTTGCCAATGATAGTTTTGCCTGGCGTTGGGCTCCACATTCAGATGTGTAGTCGTTTCAGTTCGCCCACTGAGAAAGCCTTAGTTTGCCCCTCACTGCATAGTGGCATCTTCGAGAGGAGCACTGATGTGCGGATACACTCCTTAGATACTACCAAGGCCTCCAAATAATTTTGATTATGTGATTCTATGTGAGTTCAGTTGGATCGCTTCACGGCGCAGGTGCTAGGGCTTGACACGTGGATACGGCTGCCTCACTTTATGCGGAAATGTACGGCCTCCTCATTTCGTTAGACTTTTCCTTTGCTAGGAATATCGTTGTAGCTGCTGTTCGTTGAAGATGCGAGAGCAAAAATATCGGTGAGTAGCAGCATTCAACATTTGTCTGTTTTTCTCTCCGGCCTCATTCCTGGTGCAGCTCTGCCGCCTGGAACTCGCTACCTGAAGATAAATGTACAGCACCCGGCAGTCGTACGCCACCAGAAGCTGATCACCGAAAACAGGCTAAAACGACAAGCACAAGGCGTACAACTAGAACAGGGAAACCCGATGGCATGCCCGCCTTCTCGCCTCTACGAACAGCTTCGGCGAAGCCTGAGTTCACTCGAGCCTGTCGACCTCCTCGCCAGCACAGCACGTAAGCCACGGACCTCTGATGCGATTTTAGACAAAGTATATCATATTGATGTTTTGAAATGTCCGGTACCGCAGTGCTTGCAGCTGTGGCCTAATACGGCAATAAGTTTAGAAGCACCTGTGGCTGGGCTTCTGCACAGAAAACCGTAGGTCTTAATGCTTCCCATGGCAATCCATAGAAATTTGTCTGCATGCCTAGCGCGGTGGTGTGTTCGTAGCACCTGAAGGAGACTGTGGGAGCATCGAAGCAAGGCGTGAGCTTGCGGAAGAAGTACAGCTACTCCTGCGAGCGAGCGGAAGCCCCAATGCTACTTGTAATATCGTGCAGCTGCAGTGCCGCTTGTCAGAATATAGAGGCGGCATTGTAGACATGACTGAGGAGGCCGCTTTGGCAGCAAGCACGGCGAGCTCTACAAATACGCAGCATGGGGATGAACTACTCATGATTCCAGACCTCCCCGTCTCCCAAATCTCGAATCGCCTTCTGTTACCGGACTGGGAAAAGCTTTTTGCTGCTGCTGCCCTCGCTGCACCAAGACCATGCTCTCCGCCAGTTGGAGAGGCCACTGCAGCTCTTGTGGTGAGAAAAAAATGCCAAAGGAAAACGTCCGGTAGTCGTAGCACAAAAATATCCAATCAAGCGAGGTCGCAGAAACCCGATGGCGGCGCGACATCGAAAAGTCTTAGCTGCAGTGAACTAGCCGACGCTGTCAATAGCCCGCGACAGTGCCTACCTATCCGTCCGGATTATCTAGAAGCGCTTCAGCTGCTGCATGAAAGACAGAGGCAATGGAGGTCGCGCAGATCGAAACAGCGGAATGAGGACACCCAACCGGCGCCAGAAAGTGCAAGTCACACTGAGGAGGCGCTGCAGCTGGCAGCCCCCCCAGCATTCAGGGAGCTGCCGCCAGCAGAGGCCTTATTCTCCAGAGTCACTGAGTACCTTGGATGCATTGGTATGGACATTCCAGTTAGCAAAGTAAGCAGTCAAATACTGTATACGGCCGCTAGCTGGATAAAACTAATGACACTTCCCCATACGGCATAACCCCCACAAATGGAGTCTCTCTCACGACCTATATGTTGGGAGCTTCGTAGAGCTTTGACCAGGCGGTCCAGCAGTAGACGGTGACTAACGTGCAATAATGTCAATAAGTAGAATATAACGGCTTGCATTTTTGTGTTGCGCAGGACGACTGTGAGTGGCTGAGAGAGGCGGACAGGATGAAAGATCCTCATTCGGTAAGGCGCCGTGCATCACCCTATGAGAGCAGACTCAAAGGAGCGTCAAGGTGCCATTCAGTAACTGCGAAACAAGGACGTCGACGGCACCATTGTTGGCGAGATTGCTCTGCCTTTCTCCCGTTGCTTGTGAAGCTAGAGATATTCCTACTGAATGAACGTTTATGCCCTTTGTCTTTCTGTGGATTACTCTTTGCAGATTCCCGTTGCTAGTGTGTCTGGGGGTCTTCTTCACTCAAATGCTCTGGTAGCGAGTGCAGAGTATCTTTGGTAAGTGGACGCATTACGCGCATCCCTTCTACAAAGCGCGTGGGCATAAGTTGTCTCACCTGTGTTTTTATTGTTGATTATATTGCGCACCTCTACGAAGCTTCAAGCAATGTGCCAATTATGTTTTTTGTGGGCGTTTCAGCACATGGCTGCAATCACAAGGGCCAGGAGCCTGGGCAGCTATATCTGTTGTAGGAGTTGCGGAGACAGCAGTAGTGTACACAGGGCAGCCACACGGTGAGTCCTTATTCACAGAGCATGGAAGTTTCGGAGGGGGTGGTTAAGCAGTAAAGTTGTTCCCAGCACAGTGGATGGCCAACGTGATAAACCATTCACCGTGTTGGCAGTCGTGTCCCCGGTTCGAGCGTTCAAAGTTATTGCCGGTTTCACGAGGCAGAACGAAATATGCACACTTGTTGTGTAGATCATGCCTGATGCATGCGACTCAGGAAGTGACGTCAGTGGCGAGTCAACTCTGCATCTAATTCTTAGTGCTGATGGATCAGCCAACGTCCGCGGGATCCTACTGCAAACAATCGCTGCCTGCGACGCGACTACCAGTATGCCATGAGGGGCCAAACGAAATGGCCTGGATTTTGATCTCGAGGGCGACCATATATGTTGACTGAAAGGCGTTCAGCTTGCCTCCGTCATGGGCTGGCTGGCACCGTCTGCAGCTCTTGGAGGACTTCGTTTGACCTGAGCTGCATGTTCTTTAGGGCTGCACTGCCCCATTGACAGCTTTTTTAGACCGCTTTAAAAAGACAGACGTACTAATATTACGATGCCCAGATTTACTATGAATAGCGATAGTGTCCACGGCATCAAGAATATGTCGCCACTTGCGAGGACGGAGACCCTGAACACAAGACAATCCCAAAATGCTGCAGGTCCACGGTACTTTTACTGGCGCATCAAAAAGTGAGAAATCGTTTCTTCGACTAGGGGTCTCGAAGGAAAAACAACGCTGCTAGGCACGGCAAGAGGAGTTGTGCAGATGATGATTACTGCTGGGGGCACAACAACCCACATGTTGAGTTAGAAAGATACTCTCGAACTCAGCCAACTGACAGCTACGGGGCTCGCTGACGAGGCTTCGTAAAAGTTCCAGCACGCGCTGTCTGTCAGCACACACGAAGAGTAGGCGGTGCCTCAGTGTTGTGAGGGCATACGCATATCCAGCTTGCTGGGGGCACGAAAGTGCGTAAAACCACGGTCCAAGGGACCCACTTACTCGTTTACGCGATCAAGCGACAAAAAGGGCTCGTCTAGGAGGAGAACATTGCATCGGAGGCCAGCGCGACGCTTAAGGATAATCACAAATGCTAGGTACAGACACAAGCCGAGCAATTGCCGCTGCCCGTTCGACGCTTGCTGGATGGTTCTCTCTCTGAATCACACAGCGTACGCAATGCCAATGCCATTAGCCTAGGGGCACGCAATGAAAGGGATGGTTTCGCGATCCCCCACAGTGTGCTTCAACTTGCCTAAAGGCGCCGTCAGAGCCGCGGACGCTCAGCACCTTGGTCAGGCGGGCTGTTTTCGATGCCGCAAAGTCTAGCCGAAGTAGCCCGCCACTGGCCTGCTCAAGATATAGATTTGTCTGCGTTTCTAGCTGGCGGAGGGCCGATCTGCACACAGCTCGCAGCTACCACAGCCGCTACTAACTTCTCGCCCAAGTCCGAACGGTGCCCGGAAGAAACGTTGAATACAAGAATGATTCCCGATGGTGTAGCGAACGGTTTCCAAAATGCATGCGCCGCAACCCTAATGCCGTCTGCAGGGAAATTTCGATCGTGCACAAGCAGCCTACAGATGCAACATCTAGCTTTGTGACACTATTCATGTCATATCTATGGACGCCTTACGCAAGCAAATGGCGCTGAATACCTTGGGGACCAAGGTGCTGCTCCACCTCCTCAAGCACTGCTTTCTGAGATCTACAAACAACGCAGACAGAGACGCAAGCTACGGGGAGTTTGAACTAGTCCGTGAAATGCTACATTGGGCCGAAAAGAAATGTAGGCCTGAAGGTGTTCTACACTTACGTATAGAACGCTGCCCTGGAACGCAGCAGTGAAATAAGCCTCTGCAATCTTCTTGCTTGCGTAAGCGTCGGCCTATCCCCACGTGAGTCGGGAAGAACAGGGTTACATGCGTCTTCTCTAGAGTCCACAGCTACGCCAGAAGGTTTCGCAGTAGAGTCAGAACCAGTATCTCCGCAAGGCGCGCCAGCAGGCAATCCTGCCTTCAGCGTATTCGGGAAAGATAAAAGTCTTCTTTTGCCTACGAGACGCCGAAGGTCTCTTACTCTGCTCAAAATGTCAGCATACAGCACTAGAGCGCTACCATCCCATTCAGACTGTAACATTGGATCAGACCTGGGAGTCTAGGGTTACCCACCTGACTGCCGCCACCAAGTCAAGGGACTCAGCTGCCTTGCTCAGCATCCGCTGCTTTGTGCGCACTGCTCCTGTCGCGGCCGTCCAAATGTCAAGTGGGAGAAGGAGTGTCAGCAATGCCTGGGTGGCGCAGGGGTAATAAAGCATAACACAGTATCCTTTGCAACAATGAACCTTACGACGGCGACAAGTGAGACGGCTGTTCCTGTGGCATGACTCAGTAATGTATGCAGCTGTCACGCACGGAGAAGCTTGCTTCTGAAGTCCTTAGTAATCCATCGGCCCCGTAGGATGAGAGGTAGATGAACTGACTCCATGCTTTGAGTCTGCCTCCGAAAAGCGATTCAAGCTGCAAATGCACGTAACTCAGAACAGTTTATAGTTTGCATGGTTTAAGGGGCCACATAATAACAAGACAGGCGGCTCTGAGGATGACAGACGATCACCTCTCGTTGCGTGTCTGCGGCGCTTTGAGCTGTCATGTCCCTGCCCCCAACCTGCAGCGTCAACTCGGAGCGCCCCGAACGCCAACGTCTTCGCCGCACACAAAATGACTCTCCATTGATTTCACCTAAAACGATATTGCGGGACACATACTGAATCTCATTGATGAAGCAAGAAAGGTACCGGCATGGGCATCCTGCTGAGTATGCTTTATGCTCTATCCACCATTTTCGGTGCAACGAACTGACCTTCAAGTTCAACAGACGCGAAACGATCTTCGGCGCTAAGGCAAGGGAGCGACTCCCCCTCCCCTGAAGCGGTGTTTCCTCCGTCACCCGTGCAGCTGTCCGCTACCTCGCAGGTCGAGCTGGAAGGGTGTGGCACGTCATCGCAAACAACACCTGTTACCTGAAAAGTCACCATATATGGCGAAATCGTCAAGCATGATCTGCCCGCAGAAGTATCATGTAGGATCAGGAGGGATTGACAGCCTCTCAATGTTTCCCCAGGTCTTGTGGCTTACTTTGGGTCTCCCCGCAACAGCCGTGAAACCGCTACACACTGAGTCACCTACGAGTGCCCAAAGGACGGCTTGCATCATAGTTGATTTACCTGCAAGCAAGCGCATAAAAGTACAGGTACTGCAGACCTACTGCAGATGTGCAATACAACGGAACAACACGCACATTCCGAAAAGAGATATCGGCAAAAGACGATGGAGCAGGTAAGTGCACATTCTCATCAAAAGTACGTTAATGCAAACCCCGATCACTTGAGACCCAGACACCAGAAACACGAACATTTGCAACTGGCACTTTCCCCAAAGCTCCTGCCCTCTGACTTTACGTAGGCACACAAGTTGTTCTTATACAACTGCTGGTGCCCTGAGACATGAAAAATCCTTACCAGCGCCGTTTGCAGAAACAAATCTTCCCCTTGTTTTGGCATCCTTGGTTCCTTCGATGAAAACCAAACCACGTTGGCGCAGGTCGAATCGAACGACGCCACTGCGCAGAATACAATAACCCAACGATCCTCAGCGCCAGCGACCCATCAATTCTCAAACTGCAGTAATTCGATGAAGCTGATAAGAAGGAGACGCTAGTGTCACCACACAATCTGTGACAAATTTTTTCTCAGTAAATTGCTTAGGGCATCCACACGCACCTGTAGGGTCCAAAGGACTGGACACGTGCATGATGTAGCACCAGGTCTGCGCTGCCATGTGGCCATGCTCCATTTGTCATTGTATTAGAGGAGAAAGCCCTTTCAGCCCCATCCGTAGAAGCGCCTTCAAGCTGCTCCCGAAGTATCGCATCGGCTGCTTCCACTGCAGCAATCCCGCAGCAGCATCCAAACGAAGCTAAAGATAAGACATCATGCAAAAACCTGGTCGCGTGCTCTATATCTTCGACAGTGAATCAACCCTGGAAAGGTTCGGGCTGAAGCAACAGCATGGTACGACGCTCCTTTGTGGGTCATGCAAGGGAGTATGTGTTGCAGTTTTTGTCGTACAGGCCTGTTTGCTGAAGCTTTGAGAGCCATCCTTCACGACTTGATCAGCATACACACGCAGCGCCTCGCGTGGCGGGCGGTTTTCCACGGGTATTAGTCCATGGTGCACGAGGAGCCCTAAGGGGGATGTGAGGGCATCTGGCAGCAGATGGTCAAAACTAGCAGAGGAATGCAAAGCGGTATTCGTGATCGTCTGTTTTTCGGCAGCGCTGAATACCCCAGCAGAGGCATTCTGTGTACGCGTGGTAACAGAATTGGTGAGGTCTTGTGACCCAGTGTTCAGTGGGGTTGAATTTTGCTGATGTTCCTTCCCTAGATCGACAGATGCTTGCTGTGAAAGTGAGGGAGTAGATGCAAGCGGGCTGATGCGGCAGTCGAACAATATGCCTGCGAACATGACGGGCATCAGGCGGATGTCTTATACGCTCGTCCACGCACACACAAATGCTCTTCGAGAAAACTGACTTGCCGTGCCCTGGAAATGCTACTCCCGACTACCCCTAATAGCCAAGGATTCTATCACAACAATCAACATCATCATCATCAGCAGCAGCAGCAACAACAGCACCATTATTCTGGGAATGGCTGTATTACCGGCCTCTCTGTAGGCTTCAGATATTTGGAGAAGCTGCTCCGCATTCAATTCACTGTTCCTGCTCATCCACGGCTCATTCAAGGTGGTGTCTGACCCATTATCTCCTTCCAAAGCTGAGCTGAAGGACTGAGCGCAGCTGGTATTGGCGTGGTCGCGCCCAGGCATTATCTTGAGCATGGAATTTTCTACATCTGCGGAAGCTGCATATGACTTCTGCGTCGATCCTGCAGTGCCGTCTGTGTCATGCTGTGTTGGTTGCTGCCCTCCACTACCATCAAGAGTTGGCGATGGAGCAGCAGTCTGGCTGCAGGGCGAATCAGCTGGGATTCTCGGTAGCAAAATAACTCTGTCCCCACGGCGCAGAGCTTTCGGTGAGGGCAGGAGTCGCGGATCCCTCAGCGGGAAGTGCCTCGGACCAACGGCGGATTCTTGTACATCTACCACTCCAAAGCCACACGATCTAGAAATGGTATAAAGGCACTTGCGCTGATATGCCTCCGCGAGAGATGTCTGCAAGAAACAAACAAGCAACAGTGGCTGTAGGCGGTAACGGTCTGGCTGTCAAATGTATTGTGCCTAGCATCAATGTAGAAATTTGCCACTAGTTGCTCACCTGGTAGAGTGAACCCACGTAGCGAACCTGTTTGCCGACGAGCTGCGGCGTATGTATGTGGCCAGAGTATACATGGACATCTGGCAGTAGATCAATGTCTATGCCATCGTTCAGTAGAGCCCCACCTTCCTCAGCAAAGGGGCTTAAAGAGGCTCCACGAACACTCAGGTGACCGAAAACAGCGCGAAGTGTCTTGCACTGAAAACAGTTTAGCAAGAGTGCAGCTCAAGCCCGTAACTTCTTTTGGCCGCCATCGTTGTAAATCGCTAAGTTTTCTAGGTCAGGCAAGAGTAAACGGCAGCAGTGAATGCACCACGAATGTCAACACCGAAGAGAGTGAAACCAACTTTTGGCCGTTCCATGCCCAGCAGTTGGGTGAAACTGTGTTTTCTCGCAAACCTGTTTAGCCTGGAGCATGATTCGTTCCAGTTTGCTGGTCTCACGAATATGCGGCAAGAACAACAGCTCTTTGTTGATCAGAGTTGGCCGTCTCAACGCCAATACCAGAGGACTTCGAGAAGCAGCTCTTTCCAGGGGTTGCAGCAAGTCCCGCCCTGCTTCGTAAGACAGTTGATCATGATTCCCGGGCAGCATCACAACCTGTTCAAGTATTCAGAGAGGCAAAGGACGCAAGCTCTGGCAACTGTAAGGCATTTGCACCCCGTTGCAAGCTACACACACGTCGGATAACTACGCACTGTGCCAAAATGCGAAGCAATCCTTGAACAGGGCTGTTTAGTTTACTTATATGTATGTGCATGTCAAAACCCATATATATATATATATATATATATATATATATATATATATATATATATATATATATATATATATGGGCTGTGGTAATTGAGCTCACTGGAATGTCCCACTGTTCCCAGAACTCAAGAACAGGTCTGAGGAGGCCCCAATGCAGATGCCTCTCGACACGCGAGTGCCAAAAGTCCCCCAAAAACACGGCAGCGGCAGGCCTTTCCTGCAACTTCTGAATGCCTTCTCCGGATGGAGCAGCGACAGCTGTGAGCTCTTTCTGCTTGCCTGTGCCAACAGAGCTACTGTGGCGTTTGCAAGCTTGCTGCACAAGAGAAAGGGCATCCAGGCAGGTAGGTAATGTCGCATCGCTTACATGCAGGTCGCCGAAGAGGACAAAACGATCAACCTGGGCAAGAAGAGGGCTTGTGCACTCATCCCAGAGGTTGTGCCCTGCAGTTGCAGTATCAGGAACGCCACACAATCGAGTGGCGCCAGGAAGACGTCGTGTTGGAGTGCAATGAGTCACGTGTAACGCAGGTCCTCCCAGCGCGCGTTGACGAGGGATACATTTTTTTGGCCACGCCCAAGACAAGCCACCCTTAGAAACGCTTGGTGATGCACTGCTTCGGTGAGAAAAGAGAAAACCCGGCCCGCGCCAGTCCTTCTGCTGCTGCAGATTTGAATGAGCACGCAGGACCCTGGTGGAGAGCCCTACACATTCGGCTGCGATAAGAACATGCAGGAAGGTGCAGCATCCTACCAGAACCAACGGCAGCAGCAGGCCCCACGGCGAACTGCGCCAAGGCATCACGACTAGCCGGTCAACTCAGCCTATGAGAAGGAGCTCGTGCTCCTTCTCATAGAATGTCAAGGCGGAGAACATGGGGGAGGACCCAGAGATCTTTGTGACATCCTAGGGCAACAGGTCCGATAGTCAGGGACTGTTGCAGTAGAGCAAATGGCATTCGTTTCCGCGCGCCAGCGATGAAACGACCGGCAGACAAACACACAGATAGGATGCAAGTGTCTTGATATAGCTTTTATCTCTATAATTTATGAAAACATATCGCAAACGAAGGTAACTAAGCAGCGACTGCCTGCGCAATAGGCCCAAGGACGATGGATATCGGGCCCCCCTACTGAGGCTTTCGAGCTTTCCCTTTCGATTCGGCTGCGCAGTGGAACCCAAATACGAGACAAATATACAATGATTTGTATATATATGGTATTATATCGTTTTTTAAGGGTCGGCAAGCCCGTTACGTTAGCTCATTTCACAACAGTGCGCCTTGTAAATTGTCTTGACGGGGCCAGCTCTCGCAACGTTTCCTTTTTTCAGGGGATGCAACAAAGCGATACAACAGGCATCGATCTCAAGCCTATACCGAAGAATGCTCAAATAATAACAGCTATCAACATAATGTTGGATCCTTCATGAGTGTTTTTCTCATATTGATCTCGATATTTGCGGCGGTAGCCTAGCAGCCACCACCGATGCATGATTTGTGACCGTTGAGCTCGATGTATGTAATGTAGTAGCCTCATCGACAATTACAGACAGATACGCTTTTCTTATGCCCTTTAAATGAATGTGCACGGGCAACACATACACACACCGCCAGCAAACCAGGTTCAGATCCTCGACATGGAAATGCTATTAATTCTTTCAGTACTAGCATCCTGCCTTCTCCAGTTATATAGCAGCTTCGTGCTGGGTTTAGTTATGAATGCCGAGGAATGTAATACAGTTAGGTGCAGTTTCTTTCCACAACAGACAATATATGGGAATGGGGGCCTAACTGAACGCTAGCAAATTTCTTGGGCCGCTGTTGTTTATAGTGGCCGCCGCTGTTTCGAGTGGATGCGCATCATTAGCCTCAGCTTGTGGGCCTTCGGTGATCAGTTTCGTTGGTTCGCTTTTGCCGACGTTTCTCACTAACCGCCGTCGCTCCCGTTCTCCCCCGTCAGGAACGCAACTGTGTGCGGCTTGCTGAAACAAGCTCAATGAAGAGAAGGCAGCAACACAGGGGCAGGATCGAAGACATCAGCACCGCTCCGTAACGAAGGCGACTGGAACTTTGCGGGGTCGGTACACGCAAAGGTCTCTCTCTGTAGATATCTTTTGTACAATCTTTAGTCAGTAGATGGCTCTACCACCTTGTGAAGCATCAGCACTGAATGTTTCATTTGCTGGTATGCTCCGTTGATTCTCAGAATGCAACGTTTCTGTTCATGTTTGTGATTTCTGCTGATTGCCCATTTGAGGAACAGTCCTGTAGCATGCCGTTAGGTGAATGATCGTCGAGGATCACAAGCTTGAACGTTACATTCAGGGTGTTATTTCTGCAGCAGATACGTGTATTTACACGTGCACGTAGGCAGGATACTGATGGCCAACTGAGCCGCTAGCAATTCCCCGCAGCTTTACTGCATGCAGCGAATGGGATGTGGCTGTCCTTGCACGTAGGGTTGCCTTGTAGCAGGTCCTCGGCCCACAACCGATAACCCCAACTACAGTTCCAGCTTATCCCCGACGGTCTGCCAACAACGAAGTCGATCTTTGTTTCTCGGTTGCACCTAATAGTACTTAGTTGTGCGGTAACAACGCGGAGCCCCGCTGAACTCCTGAATATGAGGAAAGAACAAATACTGGAGCAGCAGCTGTCTTGTCGTTCCATTGACTCCACTGCAGTCTACTAAAGGAATAGCTCCACTAAAGGAATAGCTCCAGTCACCGAGCTGACGTTTCCAGTCCCTGGTCTGCATGTTGCCCAGTGACAATGGCACATCACCTGCAGAAGCAGCGGGCTCTTGCAGGCTTCTGCAGGAAGAGATGCACGCCAGAACAACAGAAGACCCCCCTTCTGTTGCTCTGCCATGCGTGTGCTCTTGATACATCTCCAGACTTCCCCCTGAACCATGCACTACTTCTGATCACCCCAATCCGCTCTGAGATATTCTGGCTAAGCGATGTGAGAAAGTGAGAGCGTGTGCGAATTCGCATGCGTCTACGTTGCCAAGGCTTGATTAACTGAGCTGTGTATACGGCGGAATCATTCCTGAATATTCCGAATACCAAAATATCTGCGCGAGAGCTAGTGAAACAGCCTCGGCAAGAAAGTTTAACTGTTTAGGATTGTGCTCTCGTCCACACCGAGCTGCACGAAGGCAGCGGCGCAGAAAGCCGTGTGAAACACTCCCCACGATTCCATTAGTTCTTGGGGACCTGCTGAGCGTTTCGACGGCACGAATGCTTATGCACCGTCAGCCAGCGGAGCTTGTCATGACCAAACATGCAACAGCAATACTCAATTTGGCCTTTGACAGACCAGTCCCATGTACAAGGAAACGCGTTCACTTCTACCGCATGCGTGTAAAATCAGCAGTATATATAAGCCCTTCATCGCATTAAAAAAACTTTACCTGATAAGGCATGCCACCGGACTGCTTCGCATTGAAACTCGACAGTCCCTCGTTTTTGCAACACTTTCAACAAAACTCGCAAGCATATGCCCCCTCAAAACGGCGGGTGGCATGAGTATAGATAATTTCCACCAAGCCAACTTGCTGTGAACCACGAGTAAAAGCCGGCTCTAAAGAGAAACAAGGTAACCCCTCCGCCGGGCGGGGGTGGAGGGATAGGGAGTTGACGCTTCCTCAGTTCAGCGTAACATAACCAGGAACACCACCACGATCTAGAAGAGTAGACCCCAGTCTGGCCAGGTCTCTTCCTGCTCGGAAGTTAGATGGGTCAAGTGTGACAACTCGTTGCTTCACGGCATATGCCTCTGCCACGCGTCCCTCCTGCTCGTGGATGTCAGCAATCATATCCAAGGCCTTCACAGGAGCAAAAAAACAGGCCGCAAAACACGTGCATTCAAACGTCTGGCGTTGACTAAGTGCAAACAAGAGGAACTACGAGCAGCTGCGTCGAACTGTAGTTTGCAATACCAACGAATAGACACCACATGCCATGGGGAAATGGAAATCTCCGAACGCCGCTGTGCACTACTAAGCAGTATCAACTCGGCGGATGCTAGAAAGAGAAGCTACAGTGGAGGGCTTTGAGGTGTGAGACTTACATTATCGTTGTTCGGATCAATAGAAAGCAAGTGCTGGAATGTCCCGAGAGCCTCTGGGCGTGTTGATGGATCTTCGGCCAGGCAAACGCCCAGATTGAATATGGCGGGTTTGTAGGTAGAGTCATTCTGAAGGATCTCTCGGAAGCAAGATATTGCCCTGTCACGCTCACCAAGCTGCTGAAGAACAACTCCTCTTTTGTATGAATAAGCCAACTGATGTGGCGCTAGCATTGCTGCACTGTGGTAGCACTCCATGGCTTTTCGAGGCTCGCCGCACATGAGGTGCAGCTGTGCAAGTTCCCCATATATCTCGGCCCTGAAGTCGCTGTCATCAAGCTGGGCAAAGCTTTCTTTTTCTGTCGTGCGAATTGGGATGCTGCCAAGGTGTAGCTTCTTAGCAGCCGGGTTGTTCACCACGAGCTCATCGAGGTCGTCTGTGTGCAGGCGAGACACGTTTCCACTGGTGAATGCAGTGGATGTAAACTCTGCACTGCCCATTTTCTGCACAGGTCCTTCATTGCCACCTTCTTGCACTGTGGGGTGGCCATGCTGGCCAGAAGACCAGCATGGACCGACGGGCTGGGGGATATTGCACCGCACAAATGAGCATCCCCAGCTCCCTGTTTGGTTTCTCCCCTCATGTATTTGTGCTCTTCCAGGAAAGTTTGAAGGCAGGATGTCTAGAGCAAAGAGGTAGGCCTGTTTAGCCAGCTCAGGATTCCTCTCGGCGTAGTAGCGCGCCTTCTCCAGGGCCTCTTCTCTGCAACGCACAGCAGAGGATATACCTTAGCATATCATCTTCATTTTATTGATGCCTATCTTCCGAACGATCGTAGTATCTGGTGTGCAACGTTGAACGTACCTCGATACGAAGGAAACAGGACCACTCCGGGGTGTCGGGCCACAGCAAAGTGACGCATCTGACGATACATCCAGCATGTACGAGTCAGATGCATGTGTGCCCTGAGAGCGAGGAGCTGTCACAAGATATGCACAGCTCTCTTCGCAAGGGCGAGAATGACGCTGCAAAGATGGTGTTGTCAGTTCGCTTCCCAAAATCGGCGGCCGAGCCGCCGAGGACGGCGCGTTGCCCATGGCGGCTATACTCGGCGATATTATTCGCAACAGGCGACTTTAAGACTCTCCTAGGAGAAGCTCTGCAGAAAACGTTGGTCCAACAACTTTCATTTGAGGAAAGGACAAGCTGCCTAGGTAGGAAGGCTTGTCGCTTCTCCTGCTGCTTCAGATGCTGCAAAGCCTACGGAGCCCAGGCGTCGCAAGGAATTAAAGCTGATATAGCCCGCCTATCAGCTTGAAACGTTGAAACACTAGCACTTTAAAATAGAAAGACAAGAAATGGTCGGTGAGGAATTGGCCTGAGGCACCGGCTGGGCTGCACGGGTCAGGTTCGGACGGATGAAGTACGGCGTCGGCCAGGCTCCGTGCAGCTTACCAACACAATGTCAGCCTTCTTTCGTCTCCAAAAAAACTCCCCAAATCTATATACGAAAATAAGAACGATGTTCAACTAAGCTGCAAATGAGCTCCTTCTATGGTGCCTCACCAACTGTTGGCCGTCGCTGAACCAGGCCACCAGAAACTGAAACTTTGACCGCAGTTAGTGGAAAATCTCTGCGAAGGTGCGGTAGGGAAACTGACAACTAGACATCCCCTAAAATGCTAGTTATTCAGTAGAATACACACTTCTAATTCCACTGCATTTAAATATTTCGCTCGGTTCTGCTCAAGGCTGAGGCAGGTTGGAGAAATTCTGCAGTGGCCCTGTCAACGAAGAGCTGTAGTAGCAGGCTGCTTCACGACTCTTTCACTCTATTGGGCCGTTCTCCAGGCCTCTGCCTTACTTCGTGTGTTTACTTCTGTAATATAAACCTTTATCACTTCAATTATTCGTTGCCTGCATCAGAGACGCGGACATCCTACATAGCACAGTGAACAGGACGACTCTCTAGCGTAGTATGCTCATGCTGGTACATGAATTTCTTGCTTGCAGGCTGGCTACTGGGGGCCAAGTGAATGTTTAACAATTGTATGTGGTGTTATTCCATGTATCCGAACGGCGCTTGGATAAGCATGCATCTAGAGTTGCCGCAGACGTTGCGGCAATGTGTATTGCAACTAGAGCGAACCGCCTCCTATCAGCAACATCCCCGCGTGCTTTTGGTTGTAGTATGCTCTGGCCGAAGTTGATACATGTGTTTTCTAGATGCGTTCATGCTGGGTACGGGGGGCCGAGGAAATGCTGAAAACTTCTGTAAAGTGTAGCGAGCGTCCTTCACTGCATGTTTAAGGCGTGTGCGGGATCAGTGTGTGAACCCCATCCCCTAGCTGACTAGCTTGGTGTATATCTGTGAATTGTCATTGAGGCTGATTGCGGGAAAAAAGGAGAATCTTTCAGAAGTTTTTCCGATGCACGTCAAAGAAATTCATCATTCCCTTTCTCTCGAACGATGAAAACTGATCGGGGTTCGTCCACCTTTCCGCTGCGAAAAGAGCGAATGCTAGCCGACTCGTCGAGCTAGAGTAAGCCATGGGTATTGGGCATCTGTATGCGATACTCGCACAAAACAGCTGACACAGAACCAACGGCAGCCGGCGAGCTCGGCACTCAGAAAGCTAACGGGAAGTACCTATCGGCGTTTCTGTTTCTTTTTCATTAAAATCAGCACATTGTTCGCGATCACAGTTATGCAGAAAATAAATATCTCCTTAGGGTTCCTTGCTCTATGGTAGGAGTTAAACTCAACACAGCACAGATAGAGGCCGTTCCGGGGTGGCAGCTTCCTCTGTGCATCGCCATCAAGAACTTCTTCTGTCTCGCATCGTACTATCGCAACACTAGCCCCCAACACACTCGCATATCCTCCCCTCTAATTCATTTACCCAGGAAGGAAAAGGCTTATTTGAATACAGAAAAGACGGAACACCGACTGGACCCTCTCCATACACCGCAGACTATCACCAGTAATACACCCGTCGCGCTGCGTTTTTGAATCCTGGTTCAGGTTTGCCATTGCCAGTGCTTTCTCCTCACTCCTTATCCTCCCGTTTTGTATATCTATATAACTATCATCTGTGAATAAAGAAAAGCGATGACCGATGGAAAACTTAATCAAGGCAGCCCTACAGGGGCAGACCCATAGACCGCAGTACTGTTACGCAGGAAACGTATCGGCCCCTTGCAAGCAAGAAGCCCCTTCGATGAGGCCAGAAAGAATGCAACACAGAAAGAGAAATAAATATAAGAAACAAAGAAGTGTTCTGCCGATGGCATGGGAGTTGAGGGTTCTTCTCTGAAGTGCTGATGAGAAAGCCCAGGAATTCAGTGTCGTGCAGTGCTGAGTGTTTTTCTTGCATTGGCCAATCTAGACGAAATTTGTTGTCGAATATATTCCTGAAATATAACAAACAAATATATATATAAAACTGCTATCGTCTAACAGAGAACGATCAGTGAAGCCAGCCAACCTTGTCTTGCAATTCACGCCTCATATCCCTCTGTCGCTGAGAAAGAAAGGTGTGATCCACAAAGATATGCAGAAGTGCAGCCACAGTACCTGCGCAGCAACCACTTTCAAGTTGAATGAAATATAGTTTTCAGGCAAAGAAATTCATATTCCCGAGATTTCACGCACATGCAATATCGTTGGCGCGTTCTAGCGCTCTTCGCAGATCTCCCTCTCCATTGACTAAAGTTTGTTTGTTACACTAGGAATCATTCTCTGTAGAAACGATAAAGACACCAGCACACCTGGTACTTTGTAGAATATATCGATCGGGATGGGCTCGCTGGCCTGCCAATCATCTTGAAAGTCAAGAGGGTGCAACAACGAGCTGATGTGGCGCGTGAAACCCCCAAGCAATGAATCCCTCATTAAATTAAAAAAAAAAACGTACCTGCTCGGCAACAAACTCGCAGGATCAATGGCTGCCGTGTTTCGGTTGGCGTATGTTTCCCTGCACTACAACACAACACTCGATTGCGCAGCCGACTGGAATCTCATTCAACACTGCTTACGAGTTGCAGGGCAATAAGTAGAGGGGTGAGGCTAAGCATGGCCACCACAACCTCCTACATGAAATAAAGTTTCTTGAAGTGATATTACTTTGGCCTGTATTCGTATTTTTTTCTTTATTTCAGGCTTCTGAGGCAAAGCCGCTCGAGCCAGTGCATGCAGTAAGTACACCCCATGCTGCGCGTGAATGCAGCCCCTGCCTGATCTCGATCTAATATTTGTCGCATCTGTGTTTTAGTATTTATGTACAATATTGTAGACAGATATGGATTCTGTTTTTTTTTCCGAAGAAGGCGGAAGATCACCTGGTGTTGACGCACTCACGACGAGCTGCGGCACTGGTTCGGCACTGCCCGATTGTGTTTCTGCATGTTTTCTTAAGTGGGACTTCTGTACATGTTGTTGAGATAAATGCAGGCCGGAGAGCAGGAAGAATATAAAGACGATGCAGGGGGCCTCTCATCTCCTTCGGAGCTGCGGAATTCCTTTCTATGGGATCAAATACGAGATGCAATAGATGAGAACAGGCGCTGGATTTCAACTTTTTTTTACTCCCTCTTCGGCATCCTCCTTTTCGCTGTAAAAAAAGCTATTCCTGATCATAGGGTGAGCAGCAGCAGCGAAACACAGAACTTGAATATCCTGCACAGGCTGCGTGGCTTAGTCGCAACCTAAACTGTCTTGCTGCTGTATGTACAGATAAACCGAATCAAAAGACAAGAAGATATTCCTCAGAATTTATTTACAAAACGCAAACAGCTTATTGGTATTGTATTCTCCGTCGAGCCGCAAGGCAAGTGACGACACGCGTATACTGCAGAAGCCTCTCATACGCCAATATCAACCGCGTATATATATATATATATATATATATATATATATATATATATATATATATATATATATATATATATACTAGACTTCTTGTCTGTGTACGCTGTGTGTGAGCAGGCCACATCTGTGTAAACCATCTTCCTCTTCTGCATGCATTGATTCCTTTGTTTCCCCTGCAGCCTCTTTTCCATGATCGTCGAGCTCGCGAGTGCATCCCTCTCTGTCTAGACACTGTAGATTTGTTGTTGGATCGACCCCGCATAGAGAGCTCAGCTGCTGCTTCTTCTTTGCCTAGCCAGCCACTATGTAACAAAGAGGATGATGCCAAGGCTGCTGCATGCACTGACACGAGTGAATCCCCCCCATCTGTTTGTATTGCAACACTGAGACAAATCCTTATAGGGAGAAGAGTTTACTTTGTTCCTGTTGAAGCAGATGTTGGTTTCATTCGCGCCGATATAAAATTCAGAAATTTATTTCTCTTTAAAAAAGATTTAGCTGCATACTTAGTGGCCAAGGGCCTCGCAGCAACAAACAAAAACAGCTTTTCTTCTCTACGCCCAGCACCAGCTTCCTCTCCTCTTCATTATATACGCTCGCAATTAAACTATAGGAGAGTAGGTCGCATGCATGCACGCACACCAGCTCTGTTTCCTTAGCTTAGCTGGCCCTGAAAACCCTAAACCCTCAAGAGCACCAGTACCCTGTCTCTGCTTCCTTTGCCTCTAAACCCTAAACCCTAAACCCTAGAGCTTTCAGCATACCTGCACCTCAGCTATGTTTCGTTAAGACAGCTGCTCATGCAAGCATGGTGAGAGGGAGATTTCTGTGTTGTTTGTGCTGTATGCTG